CAAAAAGCCTCGTGCTGACTCTCGAAAAGGGATACCTGTGGTCAGGCCTTTCGCCCTCCTTCTAGGGTCCAGCTGCTGCAGGTATGCAAAAAAACACAACTGCTGTCATCTAGGCCTTATGGTTGAACATGCACTGACACGGCAGCCTTTCCAAATTTATAGAGCATTGCTGCTTTTCAGACTTGCCCGTAACAAGGGCAGGAAGCGTTCCTGAGCAGTCTTGATTAGTGCAAACCAATACAGTAAGATGCTCTGTGCTTTGCTTACCCATTTGACAGCTCTCTCCTTTGAATGCTAATATTTGCTCTGGCTGCATGTTATAAAATACGTTTCATCCACGTTGAAAAGGTCTGAGGGCTTGTACTGCCATCTCAGTTTCAGCAGCAAAGTCAACTTTTAAACAGTGGAGAAGCTGACAGACAAGCTGTCCCCACAGCAGCAGCTGTACACAGCTACATTGCATTTTTTTTTTAAGGCCATTCAACCAGCCATTCGAGGCTTTAACTCTTTTGGCTCTGGAATTTATGTCATCACACCAGCAATTTTTCACCATAATATTCTGCTTCTTAACACCATAAAACAGTGGTATTTCTAAAAAATATATGCGTGGTTAGCTTAACATAAAGTTTAGAACCATATCCTCAGATGAGGACATCGGGGCCCAATGGGTACAGTGGAGGCAAAAGTGAACGTTAGTGCAATGGTTTATTTGGCATTTTATACACATACATGGGTGCAATAAAATAGTTTCAAGCAGCACATGTAATCTTCAGTGATGAACATGAAATTCTTTGAACCAGTCTTTCTTTTTTTTTCATTTATGAGGCAGAGGGGGACATTGCACTTCTCACACCTGATTCTTGGCTTGGCCTTGCAGCCTTCAAGCATGCAGTGCTGTCCTTTCTCTACAGGCCAGCGACCAGTTTGGTCATACCTGACATCATCAACTGGCCTTGGATTGCCACACTGAAACTTTTTCAATGGCTGTATTGGGGAAGAAGACTGTTTCCTACGCTTTTTTCGCAATTCAGAGAGGTAAGTTTTCTTATTTCTTCATTTGTCTGAACCGATTTGCCTTCTTTCGATACAGAATATATGTTCGTTTTGCTAGCCAGTTCAGCGAAAATGCTCTCAGGCATGTAATGGGAAAAATATTCGCATAGTGTTGGCAGCTTACCCAGAAGAGATTCATTTTCATCGTGAACTCCGCTCAAATTGGTTGACGGCTTCTGAAAAACTTTCCGGCACTATGATGTTTCTTGACATGTCTGACTCGTCCGACTCATCTGTCGCTTCCCGCGTTTCAAGGCCGCCGTCATTGCTCCCAGTCTCTTCAAAAACAGTCACCATCTTCCTCACCTTCAGTATCGCCAACATCTGATAGGTTGCCATTGTCCAACTGAGCGAACATTTCATTCGCGTCTTTGAGCGTCACGAATCCCGCGGGACCTCTGGACTCTCGTTGCTGAGTAGAATAATTGAGGTTTAATTCCGGCTACGGAAAAATAAGCAAAACTAGGTGTACGGCCACCAGACCTGCGAAACGCGCAGCCACTGAGCCCTGCGTCACCTGTGAAATGCGGCAACCACTGAGCCCTTGTGTACTCAAATGAGGACATATTCTCCTGTGCACGCAATCACTGAAATACCATATTTACTCGCATAATGAGCTCTCCTTTTTTTTCATAAAAGTTACTGCCAATTTAGGGGGCGGGTTCATTACGCGGGAGAAAAAAAAGTCACGGGAGTTATAAAAGCGAAAATTTCGCGTGACGACATTGCTTGTTTTGACCCGTGAAATGTGAGACAAATTTTTTTTTTGTAGTCCGAAACTCTTTTTATTTCTTCCTGTAATGAAAGTGCACATATCGACACCAAAGTGTCGTCCAGCCGCTCGGTTTCTATGCTCCAGCGCATGCTGTTAGTAAGCAGCCGTGTAGCTAGCGTACCACCTGAACGCACCTTGCGCAGTAAGTGTCCCAACTAATTTCACGACAAACCCAACAACACAATCGCAGCGTCGAATGTCAGCGCACAAACGTTGTATTAGATGTTGTGGGTGCACAACGTGCTGTCAGCGCGGTGGGTGCCGTTGCGCTTTGCATAGGGCTGAGATGGTGAGCACGGGGCGTGTTCCATGACGCAGCAAGAGCGCCATTTTGGACGCCACGGCCTTTGTTTTTGTGCTGCTGTGTTTGCGTGGCATTATAAGATGTCTATTCGATTCAGGAAAAGTGCACGGAACCGTATACAAAAAGGTGCAGCCGGTGCCGACACCTGGTGCAGCAGTGTCGCAGGTTTCTCGGCACCCGTTTCGGGGTGCAAATGCAATGCATCAGCAGCGCCACCGCTAAAATGTCAATCGGTGTTGAGGTGCAGTGCAAGCCTTTCATCTGCTACGGTACGGGCAGTACGGGGCTAGTGAGGCTTAGCACGCACCGGCAAGCAGTTGTCAGTTGTGTCAGTTGTGTGTCCGAGGATTTGCACGTGATTTATTAACATGAACTCCACATCGCCATGGAATTGGTTGAATCTGACAGTGAAGATGAGGAACTCGACGCAGTGTTGTGTCAAATTGGTGCCCAATTGGTCCGCAGCGATCGTAACCGCACACCTAGATACTACAAGGAAGTTGTGGCCCGTTATTTTGACTACGAATTCAAGCTAGTTTGGGCTGTCTAGAGAGACGTTTGAAACACTCGTGGGGCGCTTCAAGTCGTCGCCCTTTTTTCCTAGGCCGCGGGGATGACGCCCGCAAATCCCAGCAGAGAAAACTTGCCTGATTTCTCTCAGCTACTTGGGCACGCAGAATAGTATGTATAGAATCACCGATACCTTTGATGTCTCCGAGTCATCCGTGTCTTTGTGCTTGAAACGAGTTCTTGACTTTCTCTTTAGCACCAGTGATGAAGTGATTGCTTGGCCCAGCGATCAAGAGCGGGCAAATATCGAAGCAGGCTTTGCTGCTAGGAGCGACGGTAAAGGTCCGAGGAACACTATTGGGTGTATTTATGGTAGCCACATAGAGATTCCGCACCAGAATGAATCACCGGCATCCTACTACAATAGAAAAAAATTTCCTTCAATCATTCTTCAAGGAATCTGCGATGCAAACAGCCGTTTCACTGACATTTTTGTTGGTTACCCTGGCAGCGTACACGACGCACGTGTGCTGAGAGAGAGCCCCTTCTACGGCACTGCAGAATCTAAGTGCGCCGGCGATTATTTAATAGGGGACGCAGCGTACCCGCTCCTTCCATGGCTAATGCCTCCATACAAGAACAACAGGGCCACGTTTGAGCGCTACAAGCGAAAGTTTAATAAGAGGCTCAGCCAGCAACGCGTAGCTATAGAACATGCCTTTGGCATTTTGAAGCAGCGCTTCAGGCGGTTATATCTTGTGGATGCAGGCACCATTGATCAGTGTTGCCTCATTGTCACAGCAGCATGTGTGCTACACAACCTATGTAGCAGAAGTCGCGACACATTGAGCAACTTCGAGGATTCACCGAGGGAAGACGACATTGAAAATGACAACGATGGAGCCATCACAAGCACTGCAGCTGTTAGAGAGATGTGTAAACGCCGACGCAAGAACATTGCCGAAACGCAGTGCTGAGACTTCAGGTTCAGTGTTTTACATGCTTGTGTGAACTACTTTGCAAGAACATTGCCGACACACAGTGCTGAGACTTTTAAATGTTTTGCATACTTGTGTGAACTGCTACGCAAGAACATTGCCGACAAGACTTGAAATCGTGTGTTTCACACGCTTTGCTCCTCCGATTTTCACCTTCCTATGTGATTTGTACCAATGCCATAAAACGAGACTTCATGAGAACAAGAAGTTTATTTTTTTGCTTCATACGCTGTCACAAAACGTTCCAGCAAGGGCCATTTTTTCTGTGTGTCGAGCAGCCCTGTTTTTTTCAATCTCTTCAAGCTCCTGCAGCAGCTGCACCAGAGGCGGATCTTTCGCCTTACACTTCTGCACTTCTGCTGTTTCCTCAGCACTAGACTCCTGGATGACTGGGGCTGTAGCTTGCACTCGAGCCTCTGGTTCTCTGTGAAAAAATATATTGTATAGTAGTGGTGCTTTTACCTCTCTTTGATGACCAAACTTACGTTTCCTTGTCCTCTCGGACCATTTTGCACCCCTGTGTATAAGTCACGATTGGGCCGACATGGTGTTGCTTATCCATGATGTCTGCCATCTCTCTGAAAATTGAATGCAATTGGCATCAAAGCATTAGTATGTACATGGCAACGTGCCTTCCGTCACCACTTCCACTCGCACTATAAAGAAGTTTAGGAGAAGATAGAGGCTTGCAATGATGTGATCTGTTGAACAGGAAATGTCGCTTGAGCCAAAGTTATCACAAGAGGAAAGACAAGCCAAGCCCTCTTAAACTTTAGCTTCAACATCATTCTCTTTCAATTATCTTTCATGTTAAGGCAGGAGAAAGACAATGGGAAATCAGCCAGTTCGGTTTATTATTGCATCCATAACCGGCAAATAGTGCAACAGAGGATCTCTGGGCTGACGTGTGCAAACAAAGTAGTGCTACTAGTGCATAATGGAATACAAACAAATTATGGCCGGACCACACGACTTGTAGGAACCATAAGTGCACCCTATAGTGGTGCAATCGCCTGTCTACAGTTCCCATAACAAGGATGACAAAAATAGCTGAAGCTCCAGACTTGCTAGAGACTCAGACTTTCCTAATGCTTTAGCGTAATGTGACTTTGGGCGACTGGTTGCATGTAGTCCAAAGAAATAAGAGAAAGAGATGCATGATTGCTAACTAAATTTATTTTGCACAAGCCCTGCCACTTTAAGAACAAAAAATTGGGGTTTTCAAAAACATTTTTGAAACTCCTAACAGCTTTTTTGTAGCATGTAGGTTGTTTTGCATGATAACTTTTTTGGGGGCACATTAGGGTTTACTGTAGGGCATATTTGTTCTGCAGAAAAAAAATTCAGTAAGGGAGAAGGCTGCTTCAATGAGCTGGTTCGAGTGAAAAGAAAAACCACTTAATTGCGTGCCACTGCGCAAGTTTTTTTGTTTTCTTTTTCTACGCATGAAATAGAAGTTGGTTATGGACAGAATTACGCACTCAGAAGGAAGATATAATAAGCACTGAAAACTTACTCTTCAAACCTACACTCCACAGTTCCGCTGCCGGACTTCCGATTGTTTTTTCGGGCTCTTTTGTAGGCTCTTTCAAGTGATTTCCACTTATTCGTCACTTGGAGCACACTCAGGGAGCACTCGAATTCCTCATTCAGGGCATCAGTCATGTATAGGAACAACGGCTTTTTGTTCCTGTGAGCAAAAAAAAAAAGTTAACAAAGTAATGCACACGTGCTTATCGCCAACGTGCTCATCACTGCCTCACCTCAGTCCTCCCTTCTTGCCGATGTTTCTGAAATTCTCCTTATATTTTTCAATCAAAAATCTGGTCTTCCGACCGCTCCATAGAGCTTCTTCCGAGTCGTCGCGACGCGCACGACCCGGAGAAAGCGCAGCAGCTGCAGCAGCGGACGCCTGCGTCGTCGGCTCAGCATTGTTTGGCGGTGTTGGCTGCGTTGTAGGCATAGCCGGCATGGCATGCTCGTTTGTCGGGTCAGCATTGGCAAGACGACCCGACGCACAAACTACCCGCACTTGTCTCCCATCTGAAAAAGGCAAAACAACAACCACAAAAAAAAACAAAGGGTAATGAAGAAATGTCCCCGTCAGGCCAATGAGCGGACAAATGGTCCAGCATGCTTTTCCAAAATTACCTGTGGTAGTGTAGAGTTCGGCGTCGCCGTCAAAGACGATAACTCCAAACTCGTCCACGATGGGAAAAATTTCGGTCTGGACACCGTCGATGTCCGCGACTACCAGCATATTTGTCGTCTGCTGGTCGCGTTGTCGTCTGCTGTCTGCCAAGCATGCGCGGGGAGCAGGTTGTGTGGCTGCACCCAAAATGCTGCACCCTCGCGATGGGAGGTTCAAGGGTTCGCGGCACCGCGGCAGCACCTTACCTGCACCCGCCACAATCGAGGACGTTGGTGCAGGGGGCGCCGCTGCACCTTCGGGAATCGAGGACCTAGGTGCAGCGCACCGGGAAAAAGTACAGAAGGTGCAGAGAACCTAGGCTGAATCGAATAGACCGAAGCAAAGAGGTTTCTCCTGCACTCGAGAGATGGCGGTTTGCTGTACAAGGCGCTAAAGCCCCTAGAACTTCGTAAAGTAGCGACACTCTCCTCCTCCGCTCTCATTCCTCCTCGGTCTCCTCTCCTTCGCACTCTCTTTTTTAACACCACTCCGGTCTCCACAGGTTTCCAAGCACCTTTCCTTGCACTCGTTGCACTGCCATTTTGCACCCTTTCAAATAACTATACGAAATTATTGAGGAATACAACTGTTTCACTGCCCCATAGTGTACCATGGGCGTTAAAATCCCATGCTAAAACAAATGGTTCTGGGAATTGCGCCGTTAAGGCCTCAAGTTTTTGTAAAGTTACACGTTCATGAAAGGCAACGTAAACAGGGCAGATGGAGATGGTTTTGTGCACTATGATACTAACTGCTACAGCCTCAAGAGAGGTGTTTACTGCGATGGCTCGAGTGGGAATGACCGCTTTTACAACGACGTCGACTCCTCAGTACAGTCGGTTGGCATGTTCACGATCCTTTCGAAAAACGTTTGACCCTCTCAGGAAGTTTGTGCTTTTTGGACCCAGATTAGTTTCCTGGAGACAGAAAGCGACAAGCGCGAACGTATTGATAATGTTTTTCAGGTCACCTAGATTGTGAATAAGGCCTCTACAATTCCATTGTGTAATGAAAGCCATGGTGATAAAGATAGAGGAAAAAAAAAGACGTGTGGTTAAGTGACTGTGAAAAATGTTGGTGACGTGTGTTTGTTGGGGACAGATACATATCGTTAGCGAGAGCTGGTTACAGGTCTCTTTTTTTGGTTCAGGGGGATTTTTTTTCTTAAGCACGCTCCAGCGAGCGCTGCTCTTTTGGCTACAGTGACGCCATAGGTTTTTGATCGACCTCCATAGCCATGCCGGAGGATTGAGAGCTAGGCACCGAGACGCTTGTCTCGCACCTTGGTGTTCGATTGAGTCGTGGACGCTGCACAGATGAAGTCTGCAAGCCCGCTTGGATTGATGTTCATGGAGTAGCAGTCGCTGCTACCGCCAAGGGGGCAGGTGAAGGTACTACAGGACCACTGACCTTGGAACCTGTAGGCTCCAGAGGCCGTCGTGGTGCTGCCCTCTGCTGCACCACACTAGCAAAGCTTCTCCGAGGTAAGAGTCCAAGCGTCTTCCTCTCTTCAAAACATGAAATTTTCTCCTTTATGGTGATGAGCGCAATCACCTCCTTCTCCTTACTCCAAAAAAGGCAGGAACGAGAGTAGGCCGGGTGATCGCCTTGGCAGCTGACACAACACAAGGATGCTTTACAGTTCTCAGACAGGTGGTCATTCGGGCTGCACTTGGCACATGTGGCTTTACCTCTGCGTGACTGTGATGTGTGACCAAACCTTTGGCACTTACAGCAGCGCCTCGGGTTCGGTATGTAAGGTCTGACATTGATCTTCAGATATCCTGCGTCTAGTGGGCTGAGGAGATCACTGTTTCCAAAAGTGAGAATGATCTGCTCAGTTGGAGCTGTTCGTTGTTTCTTCTGAAGGTGATGCATTGTACTTCGACTACATTTTGGTCTTGGAAGCCCTTGAGGAGCTCTCCATCACTGAAGCTGAGGAAGTCGTCTTGTGAGATGATGCCGCTACATGTGTTCAGAGAGCGGTGTTCAGTGATCGTGATTTTAGTGTTGCCGATGGTGACAAAGTCATATAACTTTTCTTGTTGGACTGTGTTCGTTAATTCAATGAGGAGGTCTCTGCTTGTCATTTTTGAGGCTTTGCAGTCTTTCCCAATCCCTACATCTAGAGATTTGGACACAATGAAAGGGGAAAGTTTGCGCATGCTTGAAGTTTCTTCACTATGTAGTACGTGATAATGAGGAAAGTGTTCCAAGTCAGACCGGAGGGTAAAATGAAACGGTACTTCGGTGCGACCTCTCTTGGGAGGCCGATCTGGAAGTGGGGGAAGGATACTGCCATAACATGGTTTCGAAATTCAGTGGCAGTGGTAGCCACAACCCACCACCAAGTCCAACATGGGGACGCTGTAGGTTTAAGAGCCTGCAGGCGTCAGCTATACACCGCCACTATAACCAAATATATATACCCAAGGCTTGATATGCTATACAAGGTTACCCATGCCACCAAAAATGTTTGAAGTAACTGGAAGCGAGGAGTAGACACAAAAGATCAAAAGTGACACAAAAAAATCAATGCATATCCACGGAGTGAATGATGATGAGTGGGGCGAAGCGCTGGAGGGTTTCATCACTAAACCGTGAACCATCCGTGAATATCGCCCACTACATCATCAAAGACTTGACAAACACTGTATATATTTATACAAGAAATTTTATTTTTCGTAAGTGGTAGCTATATATTCTTTCCGTTCTCTCTTCATTATAATGGCTTTATGGACCATGAAGTGGTGGATCGGTAATGAGGAGTAGTGGGCAGTTTGCAAAGGTGGAACTATAGGCGGTCACATATAAACAAGGAATGAACACAGTGGGACAACCTATGGTTCCTTAACGCGCACCTGGATACATGTACACAACCATCTTGCATTTCATATTGGCTACTTCTCAACAGTACTTGCTGTATGGTCGGTGAACTGGTGAATTGGTGATGGGGCGTAGTGGGATGTTTGCAAGGATGAAGTAGTGGGCACTTGGCTAAGGCGAAAATATAGGCGGTCACGTACATACATATCAAGGAGGTTATACTAAAACTTCTGGAGTGGCGGTCTCGCTTACGCGCCAATGTATTGAGTGAAGCCGCAGAAACTCGGCGGTGGCCATATCGCTCAGGGCACAAGGAGGCGGCGTTTGCCTTGTGCCGCTGTAGTGTCCCTGCGCGCTTGCAGCCGTGCGTTTCGTTATAGCAATGAAAGCACCTGTTTTTCGTGGAGAAGGGGGGTAAGAAAACATTGTAGTGACGTGACTATTTATTTCTTGATTCTTGCCTTTTGAAGAGTATCAGAAAATGGTACACTAGTATATACGAGTTCGCACTGTTTGTTTACACAGTTGCCTCACTACAGAAGTGCCGCGGGAGCAGATACAGCGGAAATCAATTTTGAGGGAGTAAAAAGTTGTACACAACGCTAGCTGGTGACGAAAATAATATGTAACATATAATACAATAAATGCAACAAAACAGATGTTGACAACGGCATTAGTGCAAACGAATGTGCAGGGAATAACTATGTTTTTATTCACTTGTCACGCATACTGCGCCAGATACCTGATAAAGACTAAACGAAATGTTGAATCTCGCAACACAAATACAGTAACACTAACAACGATCGAGTTACATCAAACTGAAACACGTCAAACAATGTTTTCCACTTCAAAGATTTTCGAAAATGATCTCTCCAGTTAGCAATGTGCGCACGCTTTTGTTGTAATTCGCCTGATTCATTCCCTTCGAAATGTGGTGAATTCTTGTTCTGATGTAGAGGCTAACAATTTTCTTTGATAGGCTATAAATATGATTGTCAAGTGGGTCACAGTCGAGCAGGTGAGGTTCCAGCTGAACAAACAATGCTTTTTCAAACATCGCTGTTACGACATCGACCAAAATGCTTTCTGATCTTGCATTAGGGATTTAAGGTTCTTGCACTCATGCTGCAGAATTCTAAGTTCCTTTTCTGCAATACGGCAGATCTCTAAAACATCCTTCAATGGAGCGACAAGTCCCACTCGGTTCTTTGCTGTTATGAGGTCTGGAAGTTCACTTGATGCTAGCACAGCACAACACTCTTCACAACTGGTGACAGCATGCACCTTGCGAGCCACAAATCCCGCTATGTATGATACAACAGAACTAGAAACCGCTGAAAGGGTCTGAGGGAGATCTACACAATGAGTGTAATCGTGCTTGTCATCCCAGGGTTCCAGAAGTGATGACCTCCTGTGTGATGTAACTGCTGTTGGCGACTCGACAAGGCTGACAGCAGTTGACATGTTTAGCACAGTCGCCACACCTCGGCTGCAGTTTCTAGCGTCAGACGACATTACATCAGTGTGTATGAGGAGGTGCTTATAAGCGGCTCTGAACTGGCAGGCTGTGGAGTTGTTGTTGTATCCCCCCTTTCCTCTCATACAACCAAAAAAGGTTTCTAAATGATCTTGTGACATCTTGTGTGTCAAGAGGTGTGTCATTTTCTTCGTGGCTACAAATGCACCGAAAAGGGCATTGACACTTTGCATGCAAGTGATAAGGCCAACGAACCCCGTTTTCTTTAGTCCATCTATGACTGGTCGTCCACTTACATCCGTCAGCCCCCTAACGTACTCTTTGGTTTTGTGGAAGAATGATTTCCAAGAAGCTGCATTCTGTTGCCGCAGTGGGGCTTTGAATGATCGCGCCATAGGGTTCCTCGAGTTTAGTATGTCGAAAAGGCGATCAAAGATTCGAATGAACTCCGCTGTGGCATGGGCACCTTGAAACTGGGAGAGCTCTAGATTAGACTCGCAAAAATCGAGTGCATCAGCAACAGATGAACTGAGGGTCTGAACACTCAGACCTTTCATTTTTTGTTTTACCCATTCCAGATGGACTTTCGTCAGCTTGTTTTCGAGGTGCAACCCCTCTTTTTGTTGCAAGGCCTCAAGAGCTTCAATCTACGACCACTTGACTTTGGGCCCTTGAATATCAGTGAGATGGCTTACTGATCAGAAGCAGTTACGTAGAAGCTTTATCATGTGGCAAGCATCCAGAATCAGGAATACTTTGTTTGGGCAATCTTCTGAGCACTGGAATCCCGGTGAACGGCAGCGGAGATCAGCCCCAAGAAAACTGGCCGTAGAAAAGTTTGAGACCGCTCCATCAAAAGTAAGTGATGCTGCTACGATGCCTATTGAAGTCACACGCGAAATACACTCTTTCGTCAGCTGTGCTCTTTCGGAACCAGAGAAAGAATCAACGAAAAAACACCCAAGGGGCACCTTCAACCTGATATTCAGTGCCACCAGCATAAAAACACAAGCATTCGTTGCTTCGGGAAGGCTGTCATCTGGCATATCCATGCCAAGGTCAACATATCCGAAAACTTTATTGCCCACAAATCGAACATGTTCTTTAATAGACATGTCAACCATTATGGCAGCAATCAGTGGCTCATCTCTTGCTTGTACTATATTCTTGATAAACTCAAATAATTCAGAGGTGAAGCCGGGATCACCGTTCACTGCTTTGTACCATTCGCGAAGAGTGCACTGGTTTGGCAGAGCGTTGTTGAACTTCGCTTGCACATAATCATAAGCCCTTAAAGAATAATAGTGCAGCGTCAGCACAAACGCTCTTAATTCTGGGGAATATTTGTTCGTCTCTTTGTTGGCTGTTTGATAAGCTGCTGAATATCGGGAGAAAGTTATGCTTGGAATACTTCCAACCCTTTCTCCGATAAAAGGTTCTGTTCCTTCAGTTGGTAGATGAAATTCTTAGAAGTATCAATGCGTTTCGAAAGTCTTCGTTTGTTCTGCTGCAGTTTCTTGATCTTCTTTTTCATCTGTTGTACCTTGTTCGCCGATACACGCACTTTCTGCCTGTACCACTCCTTCGTGGTCGAAGATTGCAGGGTGGAGACCTCGGCAGCTTCATCAGTGATGGGTGCTTCAGGCGAAGGCGTTTCCCGATTTTTAGGAGGAGCTCGTTTTCTTTTTTCCTACGTAAGGAGAGGCATATTGCAAATGCGTCAGAAATTTTGGTATTTGGAGCGCCGTGCGCATGCAGCAATGAGAAACTGAAAATCCCAGAAATGCGAAGCTGGTGCTACATTTGCTACTTTCGAGAAACTAAGCGCTCACTTGTACGAAGCTTACTCACTGGTTTTCGCAGGTGCGCCGGAAAAGCTGCAAACACGGTAGGAATGCTACCAGCTCATAGTCGCGTTGTTTGCCCTGTCCTATCGAAGCAGTCTGCTTCAAAGTGCTCGGAACATAAGACGTCATTCTTCTTCGGCGTCCAACCTTCTCGCCTCACGGCGCGCTCACATGCACTGCGCAATCGGACGTCTTTGGGAAACCTGAAACATAGAAATATGTTTCACAGTGTTTCTTCGGTGCCCGGACTTGAAAGCGAAATATTTGTACAAGCAAATGCATTTGTAATCGCAAACATATATGAGGGAAAGCGAGCGAAGCACGCGTATACTTACACATGGAAAGTTATGCCCGGTGTTTGTTCACGCGATTCGTGCAGCCAAATGCCGCCCAAGAGCCCACCATTGTCTCGAGAAGTGATCACAGCCGTCTCCCAGAGCCGTCTTGTCCGATTAAAGGCACCACACGCAACATCACTTGCAGAAAAAGAACGCAAAAGCCACACACGGCACAATGCGCCCGTCCGCTTTCTGCCCTGGGCAGTATGGCGGTGCGTCGGCGTCAGCAGCGGAGCGTCTCCGCCACTCCAGAAGTTTTAGTATAACCTCCTTGATACATACATACATATACAGTAAAAGCTCGTTAATTCGACACCCGTTAATTCGGAAATTCGGATAATTCGGACGGCTCTATTGGTCCCGGCCAAAGTGCATGTTGATCTATGGGACCAAACCTTCGTTATTTCGTTGGAATTCGGCTCCGCACCGCTTAATTCGGACAAATGCTGACGGCTGCTGCTACACAAAAGTGTGATAAAGCAGCGCTGGCACCACTGGAGTGAAACCGAAACCTGAGTGGCATCGCCATCATCATCAACTAGTGGGGGCGATCGCAGCGTCACCGAACGTCGGCGTCTTCTTTCTTCTCCACTCAGCGCCTCCGACACCATTTTCCCTTGTGTTGTAATGTCGGAACCATCTCTTCTTGCGGAGTTCTCTTTTTCTTCCATTGTGACCGTATTTGCATGCCACCACCATCGTGCGCTATCGCGACCATCGGGAAGCCGGCTTTCTCCTCTCTCCAAAGCTGCCAAAATGGCGGCTCACGGTCAACAACTTGGCGCGTTTGCGCGGCGTGAACAACACCGTTTCAGGGGCTTTTTTTTTCGCACTTTTGGGCAACTAGCCTCGGCAGAAACACTATTTGCGGGATTTGTAGCGCACGTTTCGCTGTAATATTTTAGAACAAGGAAGTTGAAGGTCTGAAGATTACGAAAAAAAATAAATCAGAAAATCGCATATTTTGACCAAAATCGGCACTTTACTTGCCGTGCCCCCCCTCAAGCCTAGTGGCCGGCGGCTCGCTTTCTTCCAGCGCTGCTTTGCGCTTCGGCTTACGTCGACCCTTCGGTACTTGTTCTTCCTTGCAAACTTCCATGCTCGAAAGTCTCGCTTTTTCAAGTGATCCATGGCGGACTCAGAAAAACGTAGAAACGCAGGGCAAGTGCCGATTATCGCAAGAGCTCAGCGAGTGAGGCCGATCAGATGTAGCCAATGGCAGCCTCGGTAGCCTACCATGTGACCAGTTGAGATGCCCGAAGCGGCTGCAGCTTGGCTAAAAACCGACTTGAAGACGACTGTTTTGTAAAATTTCTCGCCAAAATACGAAACTAGGAAGACGCCTGTACACTAGGAGTCTTGATCTACATCACCGAACAAACCGTGATGGCAGACGTCATTGTGTTGCAGAGTGGTGAATTTTCAAAAATAGCGCGGCTACTCAAGTGTGCACGTGCGTGCGGGTGACAGCTTCTAGAAACAATATGTGCTGGTACAGAATCGACCTTGAAGCTTAAATACTTTCTAGTTACAAGCACGCTTATGGTACACGAGGCTGGATTTTCGGGTGAAGGCCTTCTCGCATACATCACACTTGAACGGCCGCTCACCAGTGTGGGTTAAAGTGTGCGTTTTCAGCGTTCCATAGAGGGCGAACTGCTGCAGGACATATGCGGCACACATACGGCTTCTCGCCTGTATGAGTGCGGGTGTGTCGAGTTAGTTCTGAGCTAGTAACACTCTTGAAGCTGCAGAGGTTACAAGCAAACTTCTTCATACCCGCATGAATGCGCTTGTGCTGAGCAATGGCCCCTCTTGAGGTGAAACTCGTCCCGCATAAATCGCATTTGTGCGGCAGTTCGCCAGTGTGGGTGATAGTGTACTCTTTTAACGCCGTCAAGGATGTGAAAGTAGCAGGACACAGTTGGCACGCGTACGGCCTCTCACCGGTGTGCCTACGAATGTGCAACTGGAGATGACACTTCTGGGTAAACTTTTGACCACACTCATCACAACCATACTTTCTCTTTCCTGAGTGAGTCAGCGTGTGGCGTGTGAGTGCTCCTTTTAGGCCGAACTTCTTGCCGCACTCCTCGCACTGATGCGGACGTTCGCCAGTGTGGGTCAACAAGTGTGCATTCAGATTTCCCCTGATTGCGAAGGTTGCAGGGCACGACGAGCATTCGTAGGGCTTTTCGCCAGAGTGCGTGCGCCTGTGGACATTGAGGTTAGCTTTCTGAGCGAATTTTTTCTGACAGACGTTACAAGCCCAGCTTTTTACACATGTGTGAGTCAACAAGTGTCCTCGAAGCTCCGAGCTTGTTTCAAAAACTTTCTCACACAAGCCACACTGCGAGGAGTTGTTGGTCGCATCCTTGCCGTCTTTTTCTGCGTTGCACACTCTGGCCTTGCCAGGGACCTTGTCGCGTTCTGTCAAAGCGGCAGACCCTCTCTTCTTTTTCACAACACTTGGACCAGCGGCGACTTGATCAGAAGTGGATGCTTGTTCGTTTTCTGCCATAGCTGGACGCCTTGACTAAAAGGCCAGATCGGGAAGTTCCATCGACAACCGGTTACTGCAACCAGCCCACGACGAATACCAGTGTTGTCGCAAACAAGACGCATCACGTCATTCACACTGCACACACCACGCACATATCCCTCAGTTTCACCGTCCGTAAACGCACACTACACGCCACAATTAACACGGCACACTTTCGAAGACGATGCCGCTGTTCCCCTCACAGGGCGCCACGTGTGTTCACTTCTCCGACATAAACAGCCAGCCAGCGTGGCAAATATTTCATCACGCACTTTACCACACAAACAAGATGATCTCTGACACATACCACAGCTAATGTTGTCACTGTGAGATCAAGATTACGCTTTCAATAGGAAAAAAAAAAAAACTTTCCCTAAGCACCGACCGACTGCACCCCACTCAGCCACCAGTGGGAGTCGCCAAAAGTGCGCAATTCGCGACTTTGGGAGCTACCTTCGCTAGTGCAGAACGATTTTTTACTACTTTCTCGTTCGAATTCAGCTATGACATTTGGGGAAATGATAGTTGAATGAATGATCAAAAGTGATTTTAAAAACAATATCTCAAAAGTGGAAATTTTTGCAAAAAATTCGATTTTTTGACCCACATCTCCCCTTAAGGCCAAGGATGGTCTTTCTCTTAAGGGGAAACGTGGGTTCTAAAATGAAGGTTGTTTATTTTGGAGCGAACTGAATGATTTTTATCAGTGTTGTTCAGTTTTTCTGCTGATTCCAAATATGCAGTTACGTTTTGTATACATGCATTATAACAAAAAGATACAAAGTTTTTAATAAAGAAATTAGATTTCTTACAGGACATAGCAAACACTTCGCTTTATGAAAATTTAAAACTAAATGTATATAATTCTAATTATAATTATAAAACTAACGCCACGCATGCGCGAGGAATCGTCTACGGCCACGTTGACGTTATCAGACGATGTCGGAGCTTGCTCCCGCGATGCAGTAGCAGCACCATTGGGCTTTCTACTCCTGCCTTTCTTCCGTGAACGGCCAAAATGATGCTTCGACCGGAACTTTTCCGCACGGCCGGGCATAGCGAACCGCACCAAAATATTCTAGCACACTGACCGCACGAACACGTTAGCGATAAGACACCATCGCAAGAGCGATACCTTTTCAAAATGGCAGCTGACACTGCGATCAAATTTTCCTGGCCAATCGAGAAACGCCATTTTGGTCACGTGCGTCAAGCAACCAATGGAGTCGCGTGCAGCGCGTGGTTTCGCTTTGCTTTTTTTTTGCTTCCGTGTGGGGCACATGGTTGCTTTCTGAAAACAAGAGAAAAGCTGGAAACGCGACCTTTCAAACAAGACCAAAATGGCGTTGGTGGAGCGCGTAGTTCGCGTGCTGTCAGCGGTTGAAGTAAGGCTAGTTTAGACGAATTTAAAGGTCCGCTTGCGCGTAGTTGCTTTTTTAAATCTCTTAGAACTCTGGAAATAAATAGAATTTCGGAGCTGAAATTTGCTAATAGATGCAGAAGGGCCTCGGGAACGCAAAAATGATGAGTGAAAATGCGATTTTTCGGCTGATTTTCGACATTTAAGTGCCGCGTCCCCCCCATAAATGTTTAGCTTTCAAATAAAAAATGTTTCTTGAGTGTTTGTAGTGATTTTTGCAATGCAAGTTGAAATGTTTTGCCTTAAGTAAACTTCTCTCTGTGCCGCACATTGCTGCTATTGCGTTGGGGTGGCGGGGCATGTGAATCTGCAGGTATTGCAGCTTTTACCCTGCTATCCTCACTATGTATGATACTTTTCCTCTTTCCTATTCGACCTCTTTGTTCAAGCTGTATTATTATGTATTGATTATGGTGAAATAAACCAAATCTCGAATAAAAAAATCTTAAAACTCGATCCGGCAGAGCAGCAGCCGTCAACTCGGGCAGCGTGACAGGCCTCGCCACCTTCGGTCGCGCATTCCACGGCCACTTTTGTCTCTTCCCGAATGCCTCTCGCATAGTAACCTTGAGAGGACGATCGTCTTTAGCCATTCGGGCAGGGTAATGCTGTTGAACAGTTGAACAAGCGGCAGGATAAAATCAGAAATAAAAGATAAACACAGACAGTGAAACACGAGAGCTCAGAGGCAGAGGGCGGGAGATCCAACACGCCCGGCACGCTCGCTGCTAGACCAACAAGAGTGAAACAAGCGAGGGTGCGCACGCTTCAGCCAATCACAGGCGTGAACGGATGCTTCAGAAATGACGTGATAGCTTCGGTTCCTGCAACTTGTTGCCATTTTGAAAGAGCAAAAAATGCGCACAAAGAAAACAGCTTTAAAACAAGCCCAAGATGGCGGCTGTCGGCCACTGTCCACACGTGGTAAAGGCGCAAATTTCGAACACTTTTGTTTGATTTTTACGAATTTGACATCCACCTTGGTCCACATAACTGAAGTTTTTTATTCTTTGTCGATAAAATTGAACTTCTACATTTCGCAGAGGGATTCTTGAATGATTAAACATTTCAAAAATGCACTTTCCCGAAAATAATTTTTTTTTGCTGTTTATTGCCATTTTAAAACCCGTGTCTCCCCTTAAAAATTACAAAAGGTGGCAGCTTCCATCCGTCCGCTGTAACAGCAAGCATGACCGTCCACCACTGCTTTTCTGCGCATGTTGTTCTAATGTGCACACTCCGCACACCTTTGTTTGACTGTTGTGCTATGCGGTATATCGAAGTTTAGCAACATTTCATTGACATTTGCAATTTGTGAGAGCAGAAAGTTCTTTTCGTGCTGGATCCGGATTACAAAGCGATGAAAATCTCTTATCTTCATATGCCGTGGGTAGCCGCTGTCACAAAGTCGTATCTCTTCTGCAAGACAGTAGACTTTGGCTCATAAAGCGTGTGGCCCATTCATTGCTCACGCAGAAATCTTGCGCCGACTCTCCTGCCTGAAAACTATGCACACATTGTTTTCGATAAACTCGATCAATACGGCACACTCGTGCGTGGAGACCATTGACGTAGTCGAGAAGTGCAGTCTGTACTTGCGGACATTTTTCTGTCTTAGGCCCACGGAAGGCCTCACGCGTCTTGTTGGTGGCCTTCAGCAGTGCATGCTGCCGTTGCTAGTACCCGACACAAAATTATCTCCAAAGTGCCTGGCAGCGGCTTTGTTGCTGTGTTCTAGTGCATGGTCAATCACCCTCAACATGAAGGCTGCCAGGTAGCTTCTGTACCACCCCGTCGCGTAGAACGACGTAACAAACGTTGCACAGACTAGCACTAACACGCTGAGGCCGAAACATGTACTTGCTACTTGCGGCTTTGCTTGGCTTATATTTGGGCTTTGTGCGATGACAGTATGCATGGTACTTAACACATAGCATCCCAAGAAGGCGTGCCGCCTAGCGCGTAACGCATGGTACTTAATAGATAGCATCCCAAGGAGGCGTGCCGCCTAGTGCGTAACGCCTTTCAAGGCACTAAGCGCTAGGCGGCCTGTTCATCACACTTACCTATTCTAGCCTCTGTAGCATCGTACATAAACTCATCAGAGTTATTCAATCATACGAGTTGCGAAACTTCCCATAGGCTCCACGTATCAAAATCTGAACATGGCATTGGCAAAAATGGCCAAATTGAGCAGATTGTAGTGCCATATTTTGACAGCAAAACTAGCTAGAAAATGCATTATTTTGTTATTTTGCCTTTAGCAAGATTGTGAGTGTTGCCGCATTCTGTCGTGTTTGCTGAAAGGAAGGCCAGCTCAATGGCCTTCATCTCAACGTTGACTTTATGAGCCGAACAGTTGTCCACAAGAAGCAGGACTTTGCGGTCACAGCATTCGAACTTATTGTCAAGCTTCCCCAGCCAGTGCGCGAACAGTTCCCCCATCATCCAGGCCCTTTTTTTGGCCGCGTAGTCCGATGAAGGGACTTGAAGCAGTGAGGACTTCTCGATTTGCCTATCACAAACAGAGGCAACCTCTCTGTCCCGGTCATGTTCGCAGCAACCATCACAGTTATCCCTTCTTTACTTTTCTTCCCTCTCGTGCACTTGTCGCCTTTATACGAGATAGTTTTGACGGGCAGCGATTTGAAAATTAAGGCACTTTCATCCGCAATAAATATGTCCTGCGGAGAATACTCCTTCATGTAGCCTTGAAGCACTTCGGAGTGCCAACCTTCACACGTTTTCATGTTGACGGCATTCATTTCACCCGACACAGCACGGAAAACGAGGTCGTAGCGCTCGCGAAATTGGTGCAACCACCCATCTGAAGCAGCGAAGTCGTCGTAGTGTAGCTTTAGGGCGAAGTCCGCTGCCTTTGCCAGTATGACTGGGCCACTCAGTGGCATGTCCTGCGAACGCATTTCCTTTATCCAAATGAGAAGCGCTTTCTCGAGGTCAGGATACTTAGCGGGCCGCAACCTCCTCCTTTTGCCCGCAACTTCTGTCTCTAAGGCGTCTTAAATAGTCCTCCTATTTTTCATATAAGTAGATAGCGTCTTGCTTAGACAAGAATCCGGCGTCCACTTCCCACAGAATATCAGCTTTCTCCTGAAGTGTTTTGGCATTGTTTTGCTGCGGGCACACATCATCAAATCGGAGCAGCAGAATCGCGACAAACGGGAAGCTACTACCGGCGCTACACCAACAAACGTTAGCCGAGGCCTAACACGAACACAAAGAATCTCGACAGTCGGAAGCTACTTCCAGCACCAACAACCGAGGTGTACGACGCACACCCCAGACAGAGACTGCAGAGAAGGCTGGGTGAAGCTACGACGCACCCGTGTGCTCGTCATGCCATCTGTCGTCAAACAGCGACAATTGCACAGGATTTTCAAAGGTTCAGAGATTGGCGCTTAAAAAAAACAAAACAAATCTTGCAGGTTACGTAGGACGGAGAGAAGGCAGCCGCTGAGAGAGAGAGATGTGGGGGTGTCACAGGTCCCGTTAATTAGGGAGGCGATCGCCGGGCTAATTCCAAGGGCCGAAGTATCGGCCCCCTGAACTGCACCACGAAAGCGTGGACAATTTAGAAGTGGTCCTATTTGGCGCGCCAGCGGACGCCGGCTGTGGCCCAAAGAACAAGTCAGAGCGGAGAGTTGATAAATAAAACAAAATGATATTCTCAATTATGGCAGATCAAAACGATACACAAATATGCACACTCAACAATAGTTGAATACGATATGTCACCAATCAATTAACGTGCTACACAATACAATCAGTCACACTCGAGACAACGGGCACAAACAACGATTCGCATTACAATGCAATCGCATGCATCGAACAACCAAGACACTTAAAGACTAAAGAGTTCGAAAACTTATTCAGTCCAAAGTCCTTGGAACAAAAGACTGAATAATACTCTTCCGAGAATCACTCACTCAAAGTCCAGCGTTGTTGTCGTGTCGCTGCCCCCGAAGTTTCTCTTCCAGGAAACCTCGCGTTTTCAATTGGCCGCTCTCCGAGCACCAAACTTCTTTGCCGGTAACACGTCAGCTTCCCACGCATTGCGATTGCAGGACGCGTCTTCGCTCTCTGGCAGTAGACACACTCTTCTGCTTGTAGCACGAGTCTTCACCCCTCAGGCGGAAATGCTCTTCATTATCTCCTTTGTCACTGATGACAAAAGGCTTCGCCCACACGGCTGGAAGACCCTACGCACACCAGCGCAACATTCCTTCTTCTGCTTTGTTACTAAGGACAAAACCTTCACCGACAGACGCGGCGAAACACCCTACGCACTCTGGCGCGAAATTTCTTCTTCTCCTGATCTCCCATCTCTGCTGCTCGGTTAAATACCCTTCGCGCTAGATTCCAGAAAATTCTCATTGTTTCCGTCGGCGCGATGAGCAGCGAAGGCTGGGGGAAAGCGCGAGACGTTTCGAGGGCCGTCCGCGACACATGACGCAACTTTGCATCACCACATCCCTTTCCCTCGAGAACCTTCTAGGGCTTGCTTGGCTGCCGATGTGAGGAGGTTAGTCGGCGAACTACGCTTCCGAGGGGAGGAGAAACGGCGCGCCCAGGGAGTCTTTGGATGTTTGTTTTCTTCTTTATCGTTGACCTTGAGGCGCCTCTCTGCGCTTGGTATCGTTACTATCGCTATAATTCGGTGGCGCGTGCTTTTTCGGAGTGCTCGTTTGTGACAGGGGGGGAGGGGACGAAGAATAAGTGGCGCTATTTTCTGCACTCTGGCCTCCGTGTCACTCCGTATCACTATTGAGAATTGAGACTGAGGGTTCTACTAGGGCGTTGCCCTGGTAGAACTCTTCCTTTTCTTCTCTTTTTATTGCGTGCTCACGTGCAGCCCCGCCCTGCCATTTTCGGGCGTCTGATGCGCAGCATAGCGTTTTCCACCAATGTTTTCCCGCAGTAAACTGAAAATCTTCTCGGGGCTGCGGTGTGGACGTTTGTGTCTAGTAAGTAGAGCCAGTGCAGATTTGCTGTGTGTCGGATTTTATTCCATCTGAGTAGGCGGTTCAAAATTCTGGTCGATGCTGCCTAGAAACTGCCGAAATGCTGCCTGGAAACGCCCCGACCATGCTGCCAGGCTTTGCTTGTAACGCTGGAACGTTGTTGTCCTTGCCACCGAAGCGCAGGTCCGATGAAGATGAGCAGACTGCTGTGGAAGCCAGTAGTTTTCCTTCCTTCATTTTCACAGTCGGAGAAGCAGCTCCCTTTCACACATCACCCGACTTCGCAATTCATGCTCGTTGGAAACAGGCCAACAGCTGTGAGGTATGATCCTGTCAGTGCCCGTGCATTTTTTATGTTTTCGCAGGGTTGCAACAGAGGGCGATAATTATGTCATGCCTTGATGATGTTGATACGTCAATAAGAAGTAATGTCTAATGCAGAAGACAGGAACAGTGGCAAGTTGTAATGTCATCTTCTTTCACAAGTTCTCGACAGCAGGTGGAAGAGGTTCATCGCAGTAGATGTCTTGCCTCCATAGACGTCTGTGTTCCTCCTCGTCTGATATCGTAGGTCTGCCATCACGCGACAGGTGTCTTGAGATGCCGCAGAGAAAACACGTAGTCTCTCTAGGCCTTGAAGTGGGAGGTGGCGATTATGACCACGGTGTTGGTGCTAGGGCGCACAGTAGATCACCTTGCGTCACGATGTTCGTTGCCTTGTGGGTTTCAGACGCTCTCACTGTAGTCGTTTCTTCGTGTGACATTGGGTTCTTCTCCTGGTTTTTTTATTTTATCTTAATGAACTTTGGGATTGTGCTTTTCTTTTGATTGAACTGCAGAATGCGCGGTGTCTGTGTTGCTCTTGGTGTGCTTTTGGTACTGTATCGCCAAGTTCTCTAGTGATGTGCACAAAAGCTCGCAGTGTGGAATGGTCGGTTTCTCTGCAGATGGCATGCCGAGGCTACAACCAGGCTTGAACAGGATATTCTCGTATTCATCCTGTTGCCTTGGCATTTGTTACAATGACTCGTGGGAAGTAGACTGGTGGTTTGTTGATCGACGAGATCTTTGCGCCAAACCTAGCCATGGCCACCTTGATGACGGCGTTGTATCTCCTTCCAGTCAGGTGTGTTTCATCGGTGCGTAGCTTCATATCCAGGCCTTCAGCGTTTCCGCGTTCGTGAGGTTAGGGTACGTGTAAATGGTCGCACCGCAGTACTCCCGCGAACCCAGCAACTCGCGATTCTGTCTACTAGAGGCGAGTGCTTGAAGCTTTGGCACGATGTCTAGCACGCCAGGTGCTCGTGGTTCACTGCATTCGGTGATGTTGTGGCAGGTTGTGTCCAAGCGGGTAGCTCCCATGGCGTTGCTGGATCCACCACTCGCACCCGCGTGCATTGGGTGGTGGGTTTCGAGGACGATAAAGCCATCTAGTGTGCGTGCGTTTATCAGGGATCCTAACCTTCTGATGGCTTTTATCGTGATCTTGTCATGGTAATCCGGAGCGCCCACAACTTCGTCGTCAAACTCCTCACTGTCGAGGGCGTCGGGGATCTCTTTGTTTAGTGCGGCGAGAGCCGAGTCCTTGTTGAGAAGCCTGTCGATGTCCCTTTCCAGGTGGTGTTGGCTTGGCTGCCGATGTGAGGAGGTTAGTCGGCGAACTACGCTTCCGAGGGGAGGAGAAACGGCGCGCCCAGGGAGTCTTTGGATGTTTGTTTTCTTCTTTATCGTTGACCTTGAGGCGCCTCTCTGCGCTTGGTATCGTTACTATCGCTATAATTCGGTGGTGCGCGCTTTTTCGGAGTGCTCCTTTGTGACAGGGGGGGAGGGGACGAAGAATAAGTGGCGCTATTTTCTGCACTCTGGCCTCCGTGTCACTTCGTATCACTATTGAGAATTGAGACTGAGGGTTCTACTAGGGCGTTGCCCTGGTAGAACTCTTCCTTTTCTTCTCTTTTTATTGCGTGCTCACGTGCAGCCCCGCCCTGCCATTTTCGCGCGTCTGATGCGCAGCATAGCGTTTTCCACCAATGTTTTCCCGCAGTAAACTGAACATCTTCTCGGGGCTGCGGTGTGGACGTTTGTGTCTAGTAAGTAGAGCCAGTGCAGATTTGCTGTGTGCCGGATTTTATTCCATCTGGGTAGGCGAGTTCAAAATTCTGGTCGATGCTGCCTAGAAACTGCCGAAATGCTGCCTGGAAACGCCCCGACCATGCTGCCAGGCTTTGCTTGTAACGCTGGAACGTTGTTGTCCTTGCCACCGAAGCGCAGGTCCGATGAAGATGAGCAGACTGCTGTGGAAGCCAGTAGTTTTTCTTCCTTCATTTTCACAGTCGGAGAAGCAGCTCCCTTTCACACATCACCCGACTTCGCAATTCATGCTCGTTGGAAACAGGCCAACAGCTGTGAGATCTTCCTGGTACACCTGGATGCGTTTGCTGGTTAGGAGGTATGATCCTGTCAGTGCCCGTGCATTTTTGATGTTTTCGCAGGGTTGCAACAGAGGGCGATAATTATGTCATGCCTTGATGATCTTGATACGTCAATAAGAAGTAATGTCTAATGCAGAAGACAGGAACAGTGGCAAATTGTAATGTCATCTTCTTTCACAAGTTTTCGACAGCAGGTGGAAGAGGTTCATCACAGTAGATGTCTTGCCTCCATAGACGTCTTGTGTCCCTCCTCGTCTGATATCGTAGGTCTGCCATCACGCGACAGGTGTCTTGAGATGCCGCAGAGAAAACACGTAGTCTCTCTAGGCCTTGAAGTGGGAGGTGGCGATTATGACCACGGTGTTGGTGCTAGGGCGCACAGTAGATCACCTTGCGTCACTATGTTCGTTCCTTCTGGGTTTCAGACGCTCTCACTGTAGTCGTTTCTTCGTGTGACATTGGGTTCTTCTCCTGGTTTTTTTCATTTTATCTTCA